GGGGGGGGGGGAATGGGGTTTCACACCTTCACAGTTTTTCCTTATACTAGTTTCCACAAGGCACAGCCCTGAAGTCTCCTTCCAGGTTTGCGAATTACATATGAAGTAAATGAAACCCACTAAGGGCACTGACGGAGAAAGAAGGGGAGGTGTAACTTCATAAGAAAACCAAAGCACCATTGTATAAGCCACGCAGTATAAGTAATAGATAGAGCAGCATTCTCAGCTACACTGGGGACAATTAATCGAGGCTGACCGTGACAGTTTCCACATGTTCACAATTATTCCAGCTCTGTCCAAGATTACCAAGAGCTTTGTTTCCCAAGCAGCCACTTCCTCTATTGGTTCAAAGCTTTCCTTGGTGTCTGCAAAAGCTGTGATCATCTGATATTTTTAAGTAACAAACGGTCACACACTTTAATCTTAATGCAGACTAATGCAGCCAGTTCTCTGAAAACTATCAGTTCAGCTTAGAAACTAAACTACTGCCAGAGACAAAAGGGCCAAAGATCTGAATGCAGCAAAATAATGTTTGTTTCCCAATTCCATACTCACACATACTTTTGCTGCAACAACCACAAAAACCCGTAGTTTCACCCACAGGAGTAACTGGGAGGACACGTTTAATCAAAAACAAGGTAGCAATCTACTCCCATTTTCTAAGTGATCCCACTTTCCAAGAAGTTACATAAGCAGTGGTAATGCATAAAACAGACAACACGTAGATACACTGCAGTTTTGCAAATATGTAAACTGGATTTCATATCTGTTTATTCTTCAGATGTTCCTCCCACAAAATCCACTTACATGCCTTCCTGCAATCACATTAAAAATCTGTTTAACACTTCAACACTAAGAGTTGCTTGCTATCAGGGGTTACTTGGGGCTGGAGCGCACCAGAGTGCCGCTCCGGCAGCCCTGCCCCTGTGCTCCTTTTTTCTAGTCGTGCCGCAGCAGCTGCACGATCTTTCCTTTATATTCTATGGGGCCATAGACTATAATGGAAAGATTGCGCCGCTGCTGTGGCAAGACTCCACAGAGAAGGGGTGGAGAGGGCAGGAGCCCCTCTAGGAGCCTTTCTTGGCTTGCCCACCCAAGCGGGCGGGCGAGCCAAGGAAGGCACAGGGAGGCATTTAATTGTCTCCCTGCTTTCTCCCCAGCCTTTCCTGACTCACCCACCCAAGCAGGTGAGCCGAGGAAGGCACGGGGAGGCATTCTCCCCAGCCCTTCCTCGCTCGCCCACCAGGCAGGCAAGCCAAGAGAGGGCGAGGGGGGCTCTAGGAGCCTTCCTCGGCTCGCCCACCCAAGCAGGTAAGCCGAGGAAGGCATGGGGAAGCATTTAAATGTCTCCCCGCTTTCTCCCCAGCCCTTCGTGGCTCGTCCACAAGGCAGGCGAGCCAGGAGAGGGCGGGGGGGCCCAGGAGCAAGCCGGCTGGGGAGACATGTTCAAAAGCCTCCCCTTCCCTTCCCCAGCTGGCCTGCCAAGACGGGCTGGGGGGGGGAAACTCTAGAGAGAAAGAGTTTAAACTTTAAACCCCTTCTCTCTTCGCTTCCCCCCAGCCCACCTTGGCAGGCCAGCTGGGGAAGTGGAGGCTTTTGAAGATGCCTCCCTTCCTTTTTGCTTCCCCTTTTGACATCACTGCTAGTGATGTCAGGGAGTGTGGCATATGCTAATGAGTAATTCTGCTAATAGCCTATTAGATATGCTAATGAGCTCCTGCAGCTCTTTTTCTACGAAATGACCCCTGCTTGCTACAAAGGAGCAGGGAACTTCAGGAACACTTTCATGCAGACAACTGCTTGCATTGGCACCATTAGTGGATTACAGCCCAATGTTTAAAAAGGCTGAGATATTCACATCAGAAAGTATTGAAAAGGTTACCAAATTGTCTCCCTGCTTTCTCCCCAGCCTTTCCTGACTCACCCACCCAAGCAGGTGAGCCGAGGAAGGCACGGGGAGGCATTCTCCCCAGCCCTTCCTCGCTCGCCCACCAGGCAGGCAAGCCAAGAGAGGGCGAGGGGGGCTCTAGGAGCCTTCCTCGGCTCGCCCACCCAAGCAGGTAAGCCGAGGAAGGCATGGGGAAGCATTTAAATGTCTCCCCGCTTTCTCCCCAGCCCTTCGTGGCTCGTCCACAAGGCAGGCGAGCCAGGAGAGGGCGGGGGGGCCCAGGAGCAAGCCGGCTGGGGAGACATGTTCAAAAGCCTCCCCTTCCCTTCCCCAGCTGGCCTGCCAAGACGGGCTGGGGGGGGGAAACTCTAGAGAGAAAGAGTTTAAACTTTAAACCCCTTCTCTCTTCGCTTCCCCCCAGCCCACCTTGGCAGGCCAGCTGGGGAAGTGGAGGCTTTTGAAGATGCCTCCCTTCCTTTTTGCTTCCCCTTTTGACATCACTGCTAGTGATGTCAGGGAGTGTGGCATATGCTAATGAGTAATTCTGCTAATAGCCTATTAGATATGCTAATGAGCTCCTGCAGCTCTTTTTCTACGAAATGACCCCTGCTTGCTACAAAGGAGCAGGGAACTTCAGGAACACTTTCATGCAGACAACTGCTTGCATTGGCACCATTAGTGGATTACAGCCCAATGTTTAAAAAGGCTGAGATATTCACATCAGAAAGTATTGAAAAGGTTACCAAAGAGAATTTTAATCAACGTTGAAGACACTAACATTTATTTATATATTGCTTCTTACTGTTGTTGCAACACATGCAAAAATACCTAGATATAGATAGCTATAGCAACAATGCTTAAGAATCACAGCAGTGTTTTTTGAGTGATTCATTTTAAAAAAGACCAAGCAACCCACAAACACTAATAATCCAGACAGGACACAGATGACCTGAATATAGCTCTATTTAGGTGACTACATTGTTCTTTCTCTGCTCTAATAAGTCAGTTACCTATTTATTTATGTTATGTGTAACTTTTCAACCTGATCAAGTCCACAATTTGATTGCTAAATTGTTGCTTTACCCCCCAACCCAAAACCCTATAATCCTAGACAAAATACCAGTAATAACGATACCAGTCTGAAAACTGAGTTAATGGATACCTTTGTTTGGTAACTTACACTTTAAGGCCAGGAGAATCCTCTGTATAGAATCTCCACATTCCCCCTGTGCCTGCAGATGTCGTACGGCCTGCACTCCTTGTTCCACAGCTAGCATTTTTTCTGTAGTGTAAAAAAGTCAGCAGTTGAAAATGCACCAATGACTCATGCATGGTTGTTCCTCCCCCTTTTAAGAAACTCCCTTTCAATGTGTTTTAAACAGAAACAGCAAAAAAAGACAGAGAACTAGATTATTTACTAAAACCCAGAGAACCTTTCTCCAGTAACTGACAACTACAACCCAAACACAAGCCAAGTCAACATTATTAATATTGCTTCTTACTGTTGTTGCAACACATGCAAAAATACCTAGATATAGATAGCTATAGCAACAATGCTTAAGAATCACAGCAGTGTTTTTTGAGTGATTCATTTTAAAAAAGACCAAGCAACCCACAAACACTAATAATCCAGACAGGACACAGATGACCTGAATATAGCTCTATTTAGGTGACTACATTGTTCCAACTTTCCCCCCTTACTTTTTAAAAGATAATCGTTATATCTATAAACTGGGGGAAGGGGGGGAATGAGCTACCCTGGCAAGGGACAGAAAATGGTCTTTGTCTGCAGTCACACGCACACACTGAATAATCCACTTTCAATGCACTTTCCACCTGGATTTTGACCGTTCACATTCACTTCCTCACTGTCATTGTTGTCACTCATTTATCCCTACTGCTTCAGAGGTTTTCCTCCCACCCTCAATGTGTTTCGTTTCCTCTAGTAATCCCAGAGGGAGCAAATATATGAAAACATATGAAAACCGGGGGGGACGGGGGGGCGGGACAGATGGACCCAAAGCGACAGGGGGAAACCGAGTGACAAAAGTGACCGTGCGGAAGTAAAACCCAATTGGGAAAGTTCACTGAAAGTGACCGCAGCAGCCTTTGGCGGCTAGGCCAGGCAGGCCACGCTCAGCGAGACGGG